TGTGCCCGCACCGCCACCGAGAACTCGCGGCACTGCTCGTAGTCGAAGGAGCGCTGCGCGTACACCGCGCCGCTCCGCGCCTCCACCGACACGTACGCCGCCGCGCCCGCGCTGCCGCCCGCCAGCCAGTAGCTCACGCGGCCGTTGGCGCCCGCGTCCGCGTCCCGCGCCTGCACGCGCACCACCGACGCGCCCGCCGCGTTGTTCTCCGCCACGTACGCGCTGTAGGCCGCCTCCTCGAACACCGGCGCGTTGTCGTTCACGTCCGACACCTCCAGCACCAGCGACGCGCGGCTCCACAGCGGCGGGCTGCCCCGGTCCCTGGCCACCACCGTCACGCGGTGCTCGGACGCCTGCTCACGGTCCAGCGCGCTCGCCGTCACCACCTTGTACGAGCCGCCCGACGACGCCACGATCGACAGCGGCGCCTCGCCCGACAGCTCGCACCACACCTGACCGTTCTCCCCGGAGTCCCGGTCCCGCACTTTCAGCAGGGCCACCACCGTGCCGGCGGGCGCGTCCTCGGGCACCGGGCTCGACACCGACGACACCGTGATTTCGGGCGCGTGGTCGTTCACGTCCAGCACCTCCACCTCCACTTTGCAGTGCGCCACCAGACCGCCCCCGTCCCGCGCCTCAACCAGCAGCGTGTAGCCTCGCGTGTCCTCGAAGTCCAGTGCTTCCCGCAGCTTGATAGTGCCGCTCACCGCATCCACCTCGAACTTCTCAAGCGCCTTGGCCGGCATTTTCCCGAAGCCGTAGGAGATGCGGGCGTTGGTGCCGGCGTCGGCGTCGGAGGCGGAGACGTTCAGCACCGTCGAGCCAGGCGGCACGTCCTCCCGCAGGCTCGCGCGGTACCGGTCCTGCGAGAACACGGGTGCGTTGTCGTTGGCGTCGGTGACGTTGATGCAGAGCTGGGCGGTGCCGCTGCGGGGCGGGTCGCCGCCGTCCACCGCCGTCAGCACCAGACGCAGGCTCTGCTCGCTCTCCCTGTCCAGCGCCCGGCGCAGCACCAGCTCCGCGAACTTGCTGACGTCTTGGCTCTCCTTCATCTCCACCGCGAAGTACTCGTTGGCCTCCAGCTCGTAGCCCTGCAGCGAGTTGCTGCCCACGTCCGCGTCTTCGGCGACTCCCAAGGCAAAGCGGACGCCGGGAGGAGTCAACTCGCTGATCTCTAGCTGGAAATTGTCCTGTAGGAATCGCGGCGCGTTGTCGTTGATGTCCTGGATGGCCACCTCGACGTGGAAAACGTTGAGCGGGTTCTGCACCAGCGCCTCGAAGCTGACGGAGCAGGACGCCGACTCGCCGCACATCTCCTCCCGGTCCAGCCTCTCGCTCACGTACAGGTTCCCGCTCTCCCCGCTCACGCCGAAGTATTGCTTCTCCGCGCTGAGACGCAGCTTGCGCGCCGGCAGCTCCGCCGGGCTCAGCCCCAGGTCCCGCGCCAGCGGCCCCACCAGCGACCCTCTGCCCAGCTCCTCGGGGATGGCGTAGCGGATCCGCTCCGACGCCGCCGACGCCGCCGCCGCCCGGCAGCACAAGCCCAGCAGCAAAGCGCCCAGCAGCAGCACCAGCACTCGCCCGCCTGCTCGCCGCCGGCTCCCACTCTCCCGCTGCCTCCGCCTGACCGCCATTCTCGCCGGAGCACGCCGCCCTCCCTCCCTTTCAGCCCTTCTCCGCCACGAGCCAGGGACCACCGTAGGACAGGGATCTCGGCGCCGGCTCGGACGCCGCCTCTCGCCTCTGCTGCCTGTTCCGCTGCCTCTCTGGCCGGCGCCCTGCGAGCCAGCAGCCTGCGGGGGCAGAATGCCGCGTCGGTTGCGGCTCCAACGCCCCTCCCCAGGGGCCAACAGCGGCACCCGGAGGCGCCGCCACGACACCGCAGCCGGCCGGTGCTTTGCGGGGCTTCGGGCTCCGCGCTCCGACCCGCAATGTCAGCACCCGCCGGGAGTCGGCGCCATCGGCTACCGAAAAGAGTGATTCAGCTTTCAGTTTGTGGAGTTTTCTCATACCCGCGGAAAGGCGAGCCGAGAAGTTCGGTTCAGTAGTGGAAATGAAGAGGCTGATTGGGGAACATGTTACCGAGCGGTGGAGGAGCGCGCGGACTTCGTACAGCGAAGCACGGATGAGGACGGGTGAGTGCAGGTAAGTACAGCAAATGTCTGACGTATTCCAGCAGCTTTTACTGTTGCTGCGGGTTGTCTTTCCCCAGCTCTTTTATTTCCTTTCTACGAGTTCAGAGAAGCAGCAGCTACAAAGTACTCCAGAGGAGAAGCTGTTGTAGACAGGAAGCACCGAACTCACCATTTTCCCTGAGGAAATTCTTAATTACATCTTTTTTATTTCATGTATCTCTCAGAGAGCCTAAGACTCTGGGAGAACGTGGTAAGCCTTATTCTGTACAACAGCAAGCTCCCAGTTTTACAAATCACGGAGATCATCATAACATCTTGCTCTAGAACTGTGAAGACGCACCTTTTAAAGCGTTTCTCCAAAATTGCTTCTTTCAGTGAACGTAGTAAGTAAATAGATAAAATAACGTGGACGGGTAGCAGGAAAAAAAAAAAAAAAAAAAAAAGAAAAAAGAAAAAAGGGGGACCCATGCTCCCAGGATCCTTCAATTACCAGTGTGCTATTCCAAGAAATGTAAAGACGAGTAGTATACTCCTCCATGGTGATGCTTGAAGTGTATGCCACATGTCAGCTACCTTTCCCATGACAGTCAGAGACATAGTAAACAAGGAGGGGGAAAAAATCCCAAGAAAAGTCGGAAGTGCAGCACAAAAGAGGACAATTTGCCTATGACACAAATGCAGTGACGTGTACTTTGCAGTGGCAGTACATAGAAGACTCTAGGCGTGGGGCGGTCTGAAAATGGAAAGGATCAAACCCTCTTGAGTGCGGCATCTGTGAAAAAGTACTTGATCCTCCCCAGTGCCTGTTTGTTTGATAGCACCATCTCCCAGCAACACCCAAAGGAAATCACGGAATGCGAGACTCTGCAAACCAACCAAAAAAAAAAAATACCAGATACAAAAGCCCAGATTCAGACTGTTGAAATGAGCAATTCAAGAAGTGAACACCTGTAGAAAGTAAGGGATCACAACACACTCTTCCAGATGATGGCAGTTAAAGTACGTACCTAATTCAGGTATTTAGTAGGTAGCAATTACACAGTTTGCTCTTTCCAAAGCTCCCGTTATGGTGCTTGACACAAGCACATAATTCAGTATTATTTAAGAATTGATGACCACCAGCAAAACCAAAGAAAGGACCTCCCAGGTTTCCCAATGCAGCTGAAACCACGTGTCGTGGGAGGATAAAACTCATATTGCATGATACTACAGCTGGACACCGAACAAGGAAAAGAGCAACCATATCTCTTCTGTCCCTCATGCACATCTCCCACGATTCTCATCTCCAACCCTTCAAAATTTTCAAGGTGTTCTCTAAGCCATATAGTTTGAAAGCACAGGACATGAAAGGCCAGTGACCCAGACCATTTCTCTTCAACAGGCAACACTATCACACCACAAACTTCTCAAATGTATATCTTCACATCTCTGTACTGAGAAGATACAATCATGCAATCACTACCTCATGGAAGAAACATCAAGAGTCTAAGAGTAAAAGGAAAGAGGTCCTCCAGGAGAGGCTGGATCAGGAACCATTGGTACTGGGCCAAAATCCCTCTCCTTACACTTCTTCCAGCACCTTGAATCGCTCCCCTCCCACCCTGCCAATAAGGAAAAATTCCATTTGCTCAAAATGCAATAAATTCATTTAGAAATGTAGTACTGAGAGGAAAATCGGTATTACACGTCAGGGGACAAAATGAGAAACAACATGGTGCGTCACAAGACCACAAAGCAGCATTCTACCGAAACTGAAGACAATAGCAGCCCCGTTTCTCTTGACTCCCCCAACAAGTGCAACACTGAACAACGATCCCACGTTCACGCTCTACCGAACCTCAAGCCAACACCAGCCCCACTTCTCCTGGCGACCAAACCAAGTCCAACACTGAGCAACGAGCCCACGATCACCTCCCCGGAGCAAGACGCACCAGCACAGTGCGCTCATGAACCAAACCTTGACTTCCTCCTAACTAAACCTCCCGAGGAGGGACAGCAAACACAGGACAGCAAGGGCAGAGATCGCGATAGGGAAGCGTGGCGGAGATGGGGCAATATACAGCCTGTTTCAAGACAATCCATCCTATTCAAGCACAAGTGCTGTCAGGTAGACATCTAACCCTGCTAATAATGAAAATTCCCTTTTCTAAATAATCCCAAACATCCGTTCAAAGATCACAGGTAGGGGAAAGGGCAGAGACTCGCGAGAGGGAAGCGTGGCGGAGCAATTCCGAGGGTGGGAGGAACTCACCGGGGGAGCGGCGGGGTTGTCACATCCCCCCTCAGTGCTCGGCCAGCACCACGTGCAGCGTGGCCGTGGCCGACAGCGCCGGCTGCCCGTGGTCCTTCACCACGGCCACCAGCCGCTGCTTCGCCGCGTCCCTCTCCGACACGGCCCGCGCCGTCCGCACCTCGCCGCTGTGCAGCCCCACGCGGAACAGCGCCGCCTCCGACGCCTGCACCAGCTCGTACGACAGCCACGCGTTGCGCCCCGCGTCCGCGTCCACCGCCACCACCTTGGCCACCAGGTACCCGGCCTCGGCAGAGCGCGGCACCACCTCGAACGGCCCCGACCACGACGCCC